GTTGGTCCCGGAGCCCTGAGGGGCAGCGCTACCGGACCAATCCAGCAGCACCCCAGCTGCTCTGCCCCTGGCTTCCCCGATTCAGCCGCTGGTCAGTTTCAGCAGCGCCTGAATTGGGGAAGCTGGGGGCAGAGCGACTCCAATGGTCCGGCTGCCCGGAGCACTTCTGAGTCCCTGATGGTGCCGGACCATCAGGAGTGCCAGACCATCAGATGCCGGACCATCCGAGTTTTACTGTAGTATTTAAATAAAAGGAGAATTTTATTACTTATTTAGGAACTGTACAAAAAAATCTAAATAATAGAGCAATGCACAATAAGCTAGAATGTATTTTGACAAACATAAAAAAATGAGTAGAGATGTTAAAAATAATAGTGGTCTCTTCTGACCTTGTAATCATCCAGTCTGACTTCCTGCACAATACAGGTCACAGAACTTCCTAATGAAATCCTGTTTCAACCACATTTACCCTGATTTAATTAGCTTGATTAACACAGGTCCTACAAATGAGAGGTAATTTATCTAAGGTGCCACAGGACTGCTCATCGTTTGAGCCAGAGAATCTTTCAGAAGAAATATCCAATCTTGATTTTAAATTGCCAATAATGGAAAATCCACCACAACCCAGGGTAAGTATCTCAATGGTTAATTAATCTCACTGTTAAAAATTTGCACCTTACATTTGGACAAAATTTGCGCTAGCTTCAACTTCAAATGAATTGTTTCAATAAAAACTTTACCCCAAGCTCTGCAGATAAAATTAGTACTTTTCCTTTGGCCGTTAGGTCCTTATATAGTGCATCTATTTCTGCATGATACAGTTGTGTTCTTTCTTCTGTTGTCTGAGTTTCCACTGAAAATAATATGTTCCCAACTCTAACACAAAGAAAGTGTGAATAAATTTCAAGAAACTAATCAAATACTTGAGATGCAAAAATGCAGGCTATTCTCTCCCTCCCCTATAATTTTGTCCCATACAGCACCCATATTTGCCCAACTCAAATGAGAGGCACTGAAGTTGAAACAGAATAAGTATATATTTTAATATTCTTACTGACAGAGTAGGAGATATTGTCTGCAAATAATTGCTAACATTTTGATGGAAGTCGTCCAGAGTTTGGGAGTGTGTCTTTTTAAAGACAGAGCATTAAAGTTTTATTTTTACATGTATACCCTTCCCATGCCAACACTAGCACACAGGGTGGAAACGAATCTCTTTCATTAATCAGTCATTTGTTGCGCCTTCCATTTGCTCTGTGGTATTGAGATAGACTAGACTTTCCTTCCCTAATAAGGACTCTTTTTAAGGTTCCTCCGGGGTGCCCTCTTCTCCTCATATCAATTGGCTTCCACTTCATAGCTTCATGGGGGTCTATGTGCGCTGGCACCACCAGTACATGCCTAAAACATGTCCTGTGCTTCCTTTCTGGTTCTGGTAGAAAGGAGCTACTGGCTGATGATTTCTCAGGTCTCCTTTTTGAGAACTAAATCTTTCCAACCAATACTCAGACTTAGTACATCTCCAGCTATCATGGCTGAATGTTAGCACTGAGATTAGATTTGAACTGAAGAGTCTTAATTTTGTTTTGGTGCTGCATATCTTTTGATTTTCATATGCTGTTGAGTTTAGTAAATGCAACAGATGCATTTCCTATCCCTGATCTCACTTCCTTCTTGAGGTTTTTCTCTTGGCCAATATGGTGCCGCACAGATATAGAACTGTTCTCCTCTCAATATTTTTGCCTTTCAATGGGATGTTACATTTCAAGAATGTTTGTTTTACCATGCCTAAATCTGAACCTCATTTGGCCTGCTATTTTTACCACATTGGCTGTCTTTGTAACTTTTCAGGGTCATCACTAAGGGAAAAAAAAAAAATCTTATCTGCACAATACAAGAACAAGAAATTTAAAAGCACATTCTATTTCAGTCAGTTTTATTTGTTTAGAATCCACAGCATGTTTGTTAACTTTGAAACTCCAGAAATAGAATAGTTTACTAATTAGTGCTAATTATTACGAAATAGTATGGTTTTGTTTGCACATGAAACTAGTAAGATTCCTACCAAAATCTTACACTTATACTTTAATTTTCATAGACATGCAAATTTCACACGTATTTTCCTAATGCAAAAAAATGTATCTGTCTCTTGTCATGGTGTGGGAAGCCCACAAAGCACAGAGAACTCCCCGCAGCTCCCAGTATTTGCATATTTCACTATTTGTGGTGGTGCCACAAATGCATTCACAGCAAATGGCGGTAGCTTCCTGTATAATGAGCGTATCTTGTGCATCATCCCATTAAAAATATGCAGGTCTAGAGATTAAAATTTAAAAGAAAAATTCACTGAGATTCATTTAAAAAAAAGAAGTCTATCTTCGCATTAAAGGTATCTGCAGTAGATTGTAGAACAATTTAAATGATAGTGCAGAATTTTGAGTCTAAGTAATCTGAATGGAAAGAATGTCTAAGAAAATTATCAATTCCATAATGTTGTAATGAGATTAGCATGTTCTTTTGAACATGGGCTTACAAAGAAAAAAAAAATCACTCTTTAGGGATGCCAGCTTTTTGCCTCTCAAAGGGGGCATTTACTCTCTCAACCAGTGATGGACCAAATGCCTTGCTACAATTTACCAACTAGGAATTACTTGAGTACATGGAAGGTATTGCCTGAAGCGCCACAAAACCTTCAATAACCTTATTAATATGAGACGGTCTAATACCCTATTCTGTCCATTCCCACTTCTAGAATGGGACCATTGTGATGATAGCTTCCATTCCAGCCCATTCTGACTCAGAGCATTCAGATCGGTTTTTATTGTCTGTGAAGCAGAGTGAAAAGTCCTCCGAGCAAGAAACCTTTAACTCTATATAAGTGTTGATTGCTTTAACTTACCAAGCTGTCAGCCATACAGTTCTGCTGCTCAGAATTTTCTGACTACTATTATGGAGAATAAAACTTTTCAATATGCATTCAATAGTATGAGTTGAGTAATAGTATCCCTGTTGGCGCAGATGCTACACACCTGAGAATCACTTCCAGACTCAGTGAGACTAAGTCATCTATAGAAAGGGCCCAATCATAAAAGTACAAAATGCCATTAGAATAATAAATTAATTGCTATGGATAATTCATAATATTTCAACACATGTTCATTGCCATTTCCTGAAAGATTAGAATATTAAAAATATGAATTTTAAATCAAACGTACTTGTCTCCTGTTATTGTAATTGTGAATCCATCATATTCTTTCCCTTGATCTTTGAGGCTAGGGACTTTTGTATTTACAGTAAATCCATCTCTTGTTTTACTGTTAAACTGCTTTCAGAAAAAAAAGGAACTTATTAGAATAAATATAGAAGGATAAACTTTCTATAGACACTGTTCTGTAATACGGATTTCTAGAGGACAGTTTTAACAAGAGATACCTAGTGCAGCTATGGTCCCCTAAATAAAAATAATTAAAAAGGCTTGTACTATAAGCTGGAACTATACAGACAAATGTTTTTCACAAGCCCTAATTTGATACCGACCATTTGACATATGTAAAAAAAAACAAAGAAAAACAACAAAAACAAAAACAAAAAACAACAGTAATATGAGTTGTATGGTCCATATTTTATGTTTATATTTTGTAAGTAAATGTATTACTCCAAATTGCATTCCAGAATGTAGCTCACAATTTTTAACTGCTACCAATTTTCATTCAACATCCTTTGTATATTTCTCTCCTCACCAGAAGGAAAACCAGAAAACACAATTTTCAATTACTGCAAAGCCAAAAAAAATAGTAATTTAAATTTAACATTTCAGCCAAAGACTGTAACTAATGTGTCAATTATAAGCCACAGTAACTTTACTCAAAGAGTCAAGTTCTAGTCAAAGTTACCCACCTAACTGAACAACCAGACCTCTTTAAAACTAACCAGTTCTCACAATTTATCCATGCAGCATTAAAGACAATTTCTCCACCATCATTGCGAAGTGAAAAGCTTTTGCAACCATATATTTTAAAATACAATGGTATGAACCATAAAATTATGCTCTGGCTAATAGGATTTCATTTTTTTAGATTATAAGCATTTATGAGGAATAGAATTCCAATGTGACATGTACTATTGAGAATAGTATACATATAAACCAAACCAGATGAACATTTTTTCAATACCATGAACATTTGCTGCCAATTCTTAGGAAGAGATCTTTGTCTTGCTAAATCATTCATAGTATCTTAAAATAGTTATATGTTTTTGCCTTCTCTTTATCCTAATATGTGTTTTCAAATTCAGCTGATAGCATTTCCCCCTGTCAAGCACCTCTGGAAAAAGTGGCAGTCATTTTGCTTCAGAGGGCCTTATTTATGGTTTCTTATATCATATCATATTGCACAGGACAATCAAATATCTTTCCCTTTTTCCTTTCCAGGCTCGTGTTTAGTTTTTACTGGTATCCATTCCGAAAAAGGTGAGCATTGGGTTGCAGAGCTGACAGGGCTGTAAAGGATTGATCTTAAACCGCCCTAACCCTCAGACAATCCCTAACACATGCGTTAAAGTAATTTGGAGGTGACATTTGTGGCACTTATCTGAGCACCCTGGAAAATATGTGGGTAGCAATATTTGAGCTTCTATGAAAATCTCCATACCTGATCAGTTTGAATTTTTCAGCTCTGATTGGTGTGAATGTTCCTTTCCAAGCTTTATTCAAGCCTAAATATTTTATTTATAGTCTATTTTTTTTAAATCATCAAAGGCAAGCCCTTCCTGCCATATTCCCAAAGATTCATTGAACATTTGGTTTATTTGAAAAAAATCTTAGAACTGAATCCTGAGCTAGAAGGACCAGTTACTAGGGACAAAAGGATAACTCTGCTTCCATGCCACATAATTCAAAGCCTTTTTATGGAGGCTACCAACAAAGGTGCTGATAATTGCGCACTGGGGAGGAGGCAATGGTGATCTTGCGCTTTCCCCACCAGATCTGAGTAGAAGCCACCAGTTCATTCCACATTGGCCAACAGCCATTAACAAGTAACTACTTTCGCTAATTACTGCTCTAGGCTACATTTCAAATCAGTGGTCCAGAATTGTTAAAAAAAAAAAAAAAGTTCCATATGCCATATACAGGCAGTCCCCAGGTTACATGGATCCGACTTACATGGGATCCCTACTTACAAACGGGGTGAAGCAACCCCGCACTAGCTGCTTCCCCCCCAGCAGACCAGGGAGACACAGAGTGGCTTTTCTCAGCAGACACCTCAGCTTGAGAATAAATGACTGAGGGAAGTGAGGTGTGGGAGAATAAAACTGAGCTCTGGAGAAATGTTTGGCTAGAGTTTCCCCTACAATATGTACCAGTTCCGACTTACATACAAATTCAACTTAAGAACAAACCTACAGTCCCTATCTTGTACGTAACCCGGGGACTGCCTGTACTACAATTCCATAAACTCTTTGGTTTGTCAAATGTTTTGTACAGCTTTGCTGAACCAGTCAATCAGGTTCCAAATAAAAATCATCATTCTAGTAAGACTGGTTTCAAAGAACCAGTGCACTTCCCCCCCCCCCCCCCCCCCATTCCCCAGCCATATTTTCTTTTTACCAATTAAGGAGTAATTATGCAATTAAGATTGCTCAAGCACAATCACATACACATGCATCGAAGGGAAGGATCATGCCATAGTTGAGCAGATTTGTAGTTATTTTTATTAGTACATTAAGCCTTTAGAATATACCTGTACTTACTCCATTTTTAAATTAGACCTACAACTGCCCCTTTAAGTTGTTACCCACATCAGCTAAAAGTTGTTGCAAAATTTACCTTCATTATGGGAAGAAGGTCTTCTACTTTGTGAACGTTTTCCAGTGCTTCTCTAACTTCTAGCAGACCTTTAGGATTATTAGCACTAAAATAATAATAATAATAAGGCAACTATTTTAACACAAACACAAGAATCAAGGAAATCTAGCATTTTTCAGAGTATTCATCCAGTTTTAATTCAGCAAATCATCTCTGATGGTCAATGGAATTAACTACTGCATTCTATTCTACTACATTCCTTTTAGCAAATTCCTCCACTCTCTCCACTCGGTCAGGGGCTGAAATGAATACAATACAAGGAGGAATATTTTTACCTAATGATTTTCTAGGACTGAACTCACCACAGGTTAGACATTCAGACTGCATATCTTCTGTAAATAGTTCAGAGTGGCCCTCAAATTTGGCTACATCCCTTTTTACCCTTTCCCCCAAATGAACATTTTCAAAGCTACAAGGTAATGCTAAATTCTCAGTAGGAAATTAAACACATATGCGGCTAATGATAAAACCTTATTCAAAAGTATTAACTTTTTACCTGGATCCCCAAAAGCCCACAGACACCCAAAAATGCTTGCTTGGTAGGGCAAACTTGAAACAGAGATCACTCCCAGAAAGGAAACCAGATAATATGGTAGCAAATCTTCTATTTTGAAGCCTGATCTTTCACCTAATCGGAAACATTTGGGACATACAAAGCAGAAAAGAACAGAACTACCTCCACGTTGTGTCCTAACTAAGTGTCATGAACAAGCTTCAAAATTTAGCAAATTCCTATCTCATACCAGATCCAATAGTCCAGCCCCTGTTTTGATCTTCCACAGCTCTGAACAAAGCTCAATTTCTTCTGATGCGGAGTGACTAGATGTGCTACTAATAACTGTAAGCAGGACCTTTGGGACTCCCAATTTTGCCACTGGTGCAAGTTAGAAGATGTGGGTCATATACTTGCAGGCTGCACCCAGTGGCAAGGACCGGATGGTTCCCTCATGAACTTGCACAGACTAAACATGCTTGTATCTACATAGACAATCAAGTCAATTATAATAGGCAAACATACACAATATCCGAGGTACTCTCAACATCCAATCTGTGAAGTTAGAATGAGAGTCTGTCTAGATAACTTCTCTCTTTCGACAGAGGGATGTAAATTAGGCACTTTGAAATCGCAAATGAAGCCAGGATTTGAATTTCCCATGCTTCATCTGCATAATCAGGTAATGGTGCTCTTTCGAAAAAGCGCCATTTCGAAAGTAAAACTGCGGTCTAGACGTGGTTCTTTCCAAAAGGGGGTTTTACAGGATCTTTCGAAAAAGGCTTCCTTTTTCAAAAGAACCGCATCTACTTTTGAAATGGCGCTCTTTTGAAAATTATGTGATTATGCAAATGAAGCACAGGAAATTCAAATCCTGGCTTCATTTGCGATTTCAAAGTGCCTAATTTACATCCCTCTGTCAAAAGAGGGATGTAATTTAGAGACAGCCTGAGATACAGGAGCCCCTTTTGGGGAGCTCAGAAGAAGCCAACTTTTGAAGGAACTTGGAAATATCTTCAGCAGTGCATAAAGCCTTGCTTGCAGGTATATGCTCCACTAGTCTCACAATATTTTCATGGGGGGGAGGGAGACAGGATAGTTTGAAATGACTGGATGTCAAGTCATTCTTTTAAAACTTATTTAAAAACAAGAAGTGCTAGCCAGCTCTGACTAATAGCTTCTCATTAGTTAGCAAAGTCATCAGATTCCATGGTGGAACATAATTTTCCCCCTTTTCTTTTCCTCCTCAACCCCTCTTTTTCAGCTATTCATTTGTAAATCTGTATTGCTTGGCTTCAGTCATCTGAAGTGGGTTGTTCCCACAAAAGCTCATGATACTATCTACATTTTTGTTAGTGTCTAAGGTGCTGCAAGACCATTCATTTAAAAAAAATTTTCAGGGTGGAGCATTTTATCATTTACATAACATTAGAAGCTTTGCATTTAACATACCGGCACGTCTGAATTTCATGAAGGTTTTTATCATTCCAATATTTGAAAACAAAGTTTAAAAATATCTCCAACTTCATGCTTTCCTCTAAAATTTTAAGAGCAAAAATAGATT